ATCGACAGTTTATTTTTCTTAGTTTTTTTTTAAACTAACTAAACATCGACAGTTTGTTGTTGTTTCAATTTTCAACTTTTTTTAAATTTGATATGACTTGGAATCAAATCCTTCAGGCCGTACCAATTTTTTATGTGTGTAAAATAATAAATAATAAAACACTTTTGGTAACGCGGTTTGTGTTTGACTGATGTCATGACGTGAAAACTGATGCATTTTATGTCGCGTGCTGAAAGTAAAACAAAAGAAATAATATCGCAAAGCCGACCAAATTGAAAATCAGTACTAATGATTTACTTTAATTGAGTTTCGGAACGCGGCATTAAATCCTCCAACGATGTATTCTGTGCTCCAACGCACACACGCACACTGTATTGATATGATTGAATTTCAACTTTGTATAGCGGTAATAAAGTGCAAATTGACTCTTTGACGTTAGGAACACACCTACATTGCTTAGATAACAGTGAGTGCTTGTAATTTAATATGAACTTTATACAATAGTAATAGAGCTCAAATTGACTCAACGTTTTAGTTAGAAAACGTTTGTATGAGAAAAAGAAAATGGCTGTTTTTACGGTTTTTTCGGCATATATTCAAATTTTTCTCGCCGTAAAAACCATCCTTGAACTTCAACGAACATTTAAAAAAAAGAATTGGCTAAATTGGTCCAGGCGTTGTTGAGTTATGCGCTTACCAACACATTTTGCGATTCATTTTTATATTATAGATATTATTGTAAGAACCAAAAAGAACAAACCCGCCGTACGAATTAACTTAACACATGGCTCGACGTCCGCCGTCGACATGCAAGATCAGTAGCAATATAATAACTGTACGTGTCTTTGACATTTGAAATTTAAAGTTACAACCTTGCTGTTCGTTTAGAGCAGACGTTTCTTGTTAATTGCTGAATGTTTATTAAGATGATTTAATTATGAATATAAGATTTAATAACTGATAATAGTTTTATAAAGTCTTAATTTCGAAAGCACAAGTTATTTGCACGTTACACTTTGCACAAACGTCATTTTAGCCAGCAGTTATGTTATTTTGTACGAATATATAGTATATTTGATACATATCGGGTAAGTTTATAGATAATAAACGGATTTTTCTTAAAAATTATTGTTTTTATGACTTTTGTTGCTGATTAATAAACCCTATTCATTCATTCACCATACATAATATAAAAAAAATATTGAGAATTGATGTAGTTTTGTTGTTGTAAGTTCAACAAACAACTAATAGCAATAAAACTAACTTACCTAGTTGTTATTTTTTCAGAACTTGTTAAATGTTAAAATGAAAATTCCTAGACCTACTATGACATAAGTACCTATTTTATTTATAAAACGTAATATTATTGTATACCGTAGTTAGATGCCACTTTTAATTATATCACAGCATTCAATTGATTTCCATAAATTTAAAAAGCCTCTGTGCTCACTTCCATTATGTTAGTTTCCATTTTCCTCTATACAAATAAAAAATAAATTTATTCAAAGATTACTTTGTATTAACCGAGTTGCGATTGCATAACTCGAACTAGTTAAATTTCAACTCGATATTAATCCAAGTTATCAGATCCATAACAACACTAACAAATCTATTCTCTTTGGTTTAACGTCATGAATTGACGTTTAGATCCAACAATTTGTGCTGCCATCTAGTAACATAATTTTTTGTAGTTTCTTTATTTTTTTTAAATACTTCCTCATTCACTTCAATATAATGACAGTACAATTAAAATGGCAAGATCCTTTTGTCTACTTCCCACGGATACTGACGAAGTATTCAAACTTATTATGGCTCTCAAAGATAATTCGGCAGTGGGTATTGATATGATACCCCCTTGGGTTCTAAAAGAATACACTAATATGTTAGTTCCTGTTATAACACATATTTGTAATCTAGCTTTAAGTTCGGGTGTATTCCCTCAATGTTTCAAAATATCTTTGATAAAACCCATTCATAAAAGTGGTGACGGAGCTAGTGTCGAGAACTACCGCCCCATCTCGATACTGCCGGCACTCTCAAAAATTCTAGAAAGGATAATAAATAAGAGATTAGTATCTTACCTTGATTCTAATAATATATTATCGAGTTCTCAATTCGGCTTCCGTGCCGGCAAATCGACTGACGATGCTGTCCTAGATCTCACAAGCACCCTTATAACTAATCTAGATAAAGGTAAAAAGAACGCAGTGATATTCCTAGATCTTGCTAAGGCGTTTGACACGGTTTCAATACCGCTCCTTTTACGGAAACTTGAGTCAATAGGAGTGAGAGGGATCCCACTCCTGCTATTCGAGGATTATTTAAAAAATCGCTTTCAAAGGGTCAAACTTGACAGCCACATTAGTAAAGACCTGCCAATAACTTTTGGGGTTCCCCAGGGAAGCATCCTAGGCCCGTCGCTTTTCATCCTATATATGAACGGACTTTGCAATCTTAACTTGTGTCAGGGAAAAATAATTGCATTTGCGGATGACACGGCGTTATTGTTCAAGGGGAATACGTGGGCTGAAGTTTTCAATCTTGCACAGATGGGTTTTAACAAGGTATATGAGTGGCTACAACATAATTCCCTTACTTTAAATGTATCCAAAACCAAATACATGGTATTTTCATTAACGAAGAACTCCTTGCCAACAATGGGATCTATTACTGCCCATTGCTGTGACATATCTAAAAACTGCCAATGCCACTGCCCACTTCTCGAAAAAACTGAAGTAATCAAATATCTCGGTGTCCACATCGACTGCCTTCTAAACTTTAAACCCCACATTGATACTCTAGTGACTAGATTACGAAAATTAATCTTTATATTTAGAACCCTTAGATACATAGCCGATCGTAAAACTTTAAAATCTTTTTATTTCGCTCTTTGTCAATCTGTCATTGGCTACTGCATTACTTCTTGGGGTGGTGCAGCGAAGACTCATATCATTGAGGTAGAGAAAGCTCAACGTGCCATACTTAAAGTGGCTGCCTTCCTACCATATCATTTTCCTACAACTGAACTGTATAAGACATGGGAAGTTTTGACAGTCAGAAAAATATACATTCAACAGATCACTTTAAAAAAACATTCAGAATTGACATTTGACCCTATCTTATTTAAAAAATATAAAAGAAGGAAAAACAAAGTCTGCAATGTACCCCTCTGTAGAACTACTACAAGTCAAAGTCACTACTACTATCTTGGACCCTATTTGTATAACAAAATTAACTCGTTTCTTTCCATTTACCCATTGTCAAAGTCAAAATCTAGGTCCGCAATGCGTAAATGGTTACTGACACTTGATTATGAAAAAACTGAAAGACTCCTCACACCCCTCAAATAACTGAATTAAGTAGTAACACAAAAACATTTACCTCTTAGACGCATACATTAATACATAAATAATTACACTTGTTGTTTTTGTTCACTAGTCCTTAACATAATGCGACATATTATTATTACTTACTAGCATGCTTTATTTCTTACTCTTACTTGATCAAAAAGTGCGATTATTGCTAAATATTCCATCATTAGGTACTGAACTCGGATAACCATGCATCTTCTGTATTATACATATCCTTGGGATGAGACCTGGTGACCTATAGGTCAGGTTTATCAAAACCTCTGTTAGGCACCAGCCTCTCACAAACTGAACAACTTGGTTTATTGTTAATGTATGTTCGTAGATTAAGTTTGTGAAGGAAAATAAATAAATATTATTATTATTATTATTAAGTTTCAATTTTATTTGAATAAAGATCTTAAATTTTCAAACCAGTAAATTGTATTAGGCCCTCTTGCCTCCGCTTACGTTCCCATACAAATGCGCATCCAAAGTAAAACGGGCTCGCTTGATAACATACATTTATATTCACAAAAAAAAAAAATGCTGTTAGAAATAAATATCAAAACCTATTTTTGTATGTTTTTTTCTATAGTTAAGATGAGATATATGAGTCGTTATAAATCGTCTTTAGCCGTTTAATTTTCATAAAATGCTTTTTATTCGTTAAATATTAGCATAGCCTTAGAATAAAATTGGTTAAAAATGCGGTAATTTCGTATAATCTCGCCATAAGCGTTTAAAAACGATTTACTTCGACGGCGTTTGTTATCGATCTTTTTTGTGAAGGTGTTCGACCTACGTCAGAGGCGGAGACATCGCGTCGTAGACGAAGTTACGTCACACGCGGCAACGCGGTTGCGCTGTGTCGATCACAAATTAGCTGCGTGTAACTCGTTTTCCAACTAGGACACTGCGTCTGCTAATTCAAGATCTTTTTTATATAAGTAAGTATTTATAATTTGTCATTGGCGTCCATGTATAGTTAACAGTGCCTCTGTATCGACCTGCTCTTATGTTGGGAGCGATATAATAAAAAAACCGTTGATTCGTCATACATTTTTTGAAAGTATATATTTCCATACTTTACCTGTGTGTGAATGATTGCTGTACTTTCTAAAAATACTTTTACATAGGTACTAAAATACTTTGACCAAAGGTATAACAATAGGTACTTATCTGAAGCATAAATATTATGATTCAACTAACAAAGAAAATGTCTTTGAATTATTATCAAAAATAATGCTTTACATTCTGCGCTTGAGCACGTAATGCCTACGTACCACTTAAGTTTAGAATCATGTATCCTGGATGTATTATTATTAATACGGATTAAACTACATATTATATAGCTAATATACTGAACTTTCTTTGAAAATATTAGGTCGGGCCTAATGACAGGAAAATCCGGCTCGAAGGACAGAAATATATCTACACAATCAAATGATCTTCAATTGTAATTTTGTAGTATTAGTGTCCTTTCTATCTCTCTCTCTCTCTCTATCGTGTGACTAATAAAGTAAACGTTCGAATATTCATTTGCTTATAGCTGGAAAACGTGTATTTGGCACGGTTTGTGAGTCAATGTCGCGACGTTATCGGCAGACCGGCATCGACAGTGCCAAGGCAAGGCAGTGCTAGCCAGGCCGCCAAGTTGAGCGCACGCGTCTCGGCAACACTCCACTCACCACGCGCACCGTTCAAACAAAAACAAACCAAATAACAACAACTTGCATGCTCAGATTCATCAGACAGTATTGCAACATGAAACCACCGGTCAATGTAAGTATCTTTAAAGCTTAAATTTTTCTTTTATATTTTATTGAGCCCGAATGATGCAATACAATCGATGATAGAGGCAGTAATTCAAAGTATCTAATATTATGTTTAAGTTAAAAAAACTTGTGAATGAGAATATTCGTTTTAAAATGTCTGCACCGAGACTTAAAATATGTCTGTGAATTCTTATTTCCAATACTTAATATTACTTAAACTATAATAAGTTTTACATTGAGTACATAAAGAATTAAATAATATTTGCTTTTTCATCCATTTATCAGAGTATATTGAATTAATTGTTTACCTAAGTATTATAAAGAAATTGTAAGGAATATTGTTTAATAATTTAACAATAAGAAAATCAAGACTGTATAAAATATGGCATTGTATAAAATACAATGTCAAGGCATAATAAAGAAGAACATTTTATGTCAAATATTATAAATTGCTAGCATATTAGTCCATGTCGATACTCAATTCTCATTAACTTACCTATAAATCAATCCAACTATATTAACCTTGTGTGTCTTAATAATGATTTGTTTTGTTTTTTGAAGTTGAATTGAATTTGATCCGGTTTTAGTTGGGTTTTTATAAAAGGATTGGAGGGTGAATGGAACGGTTTATGTTTGCCTAATTGGGATTAAAAACTAAATCCTTAATAAACAGTCCATTACTTTGGTTCTTCCTTTATGCAAAATTTACACACTGTACCGTAGAATAAGGGTAAAATAGTACCCTATTGCCATCTGTTACTAAGACTTCGTCGGACTTGCTGTCCGTCCGTCGTCTATCACCAGGATGCATTCTATGAAATGTGATAACTGGAAAATTGTACTGGACTATTTGAATAAAGATTACTTTGACTTTGACTTTGACTTTGATTGAATTTTTCGAAAATGATGTATTTCTGTTGCCGCTTTAACAACAAATACAAAAAGAAACAAAACAAAATAAATATTTGCACGGGGCCACCATTCAACAAGCCTTTTTGCGTGTGTCCTACTAGTACTTGGCCAGTTTTTACTATTGTGTATTATTTTTTTTCTGTTTACGTTCTTGTAAGAACTAGTATCCAATAATTTCCAATCGACAATATCTGGCGTTCCCTTGATATGACTTAATTTTGTTAGAAATTTGGTTTTGTTCGGTTTGGTTCTAAAAATAAGGCAACGAAAATTGTGTAGTATCAACCAGTAAACTATCTACATAATATTGTGTAATATTGTTATTTGAATTATTGAAATTCAGAAAAGTAGAGAGCGCGTTGCAATGATAGTTTCATGTTACGTTTGATGATTTCTTTTTTCCAAATTTATTACGACATTCACTGAATCTCAACAAAACATATTAAATGATTGATCTAAATAATTTCTCGAAATAACGTCATGACTTATATATTTTATAATTTCATATAGTAAAATATACAGACCGTTTCCTACCTGAAAAAGATTTTGTGTACTTATCTTTTTGTCTGTCCTAATATTAACAAAATCGAACCTTATGTTCCTTAGACTCTGAAACCGGTTCATAATTGCAAATCGGTTTGTTTGTTAAACAAAACGTTTCGGTTTCATTCCATCTGTTCGTCTCGTTATTCTTTCGTTTTCCATCAAATAAAGCTCTCATTTTGGTTTCGGTTTGGTTACGATTATATCGAAAACCGGTCAAATCTATAAACCGTTATTGTTCGAACCGGTTCCGGGCCCTATAATGGGCAACAACTCATCGTCAATGTGATTGAGGTAGCAACAAGCACCTTCATATTTATATCTCGCTGCATCCTCAACTAATCCTTGGACAGTCTTTGTAAACATATCACGTTGCATTGGTTTCAATTTTATGCAAACTAATATTCGCGCTAGTTGGTTTCATCCGTTGATTGAACCGTTAAAAGAGGATGTGGACAATTTATGAAGTAACTAGCCTTTGAGACGTTGGTCCAAAGTCAATTTATTGCTCCTCTAATTATAGGTACATATAAACTTTAGTATTTGACTTTGCCCATTCATTTTAAATCTTATCAATGAATTCAACTTTAATATTATTAATGAAATATTCTTAAAAAATCAACTTTGTCTTTGGCACTCTGGGATGAGACTCAGACCCACGTCCTTTCGTAATCCGGGCAACTGCTCTAACAACTAATTAAATTTAATGCTTAACCATTGTCCATGGATCTTCAATGGCTTCAATATTTGTTCACTAAAATATGATCTACAAAATTACCTGTATGCTGCCCAAGCGTAAGAGGTTGTTTCTCGCGTTGCTTTGAGAAAAAAATAACAATAGGTAGATATTGTAAAAGAAATCGTAACCTTTTTTTGGTGAAGCATTCATTCATGTTTTACTAATACCTGCGTTACCGTACCATACACAATAGTATTAAGAACCTCAAATGTACAAAGAGAATTCTTATAAAAACTTAAAAATGACTTTATATCATGATTGTTTTTTACACAACTGAGTTTAAGTTCTTATGATTTGAAAATAATAAAAAAATATTTGTCTACGAAATTCTTTTACCGCATTGATTTCAGTAATGTCCTAAACTTCTATTTAAAATTCACGTTAGGGTAAGATTATCTGTATACCTGAATCTCTCTCTACTTTTGCTTATACTCGTAGCTAATAAGCTGCGCTAATGCTAATTAGTTAACATGTGAATGTACATAAATAAAGATAAGTTAATTTCATTAATTTAAGTAGGTAAGTATTTAGAATGGAAACGAAGTTCCTATCCAGGGGGCCAATTCTACTAAATAAATCGAATCGAAAACGGATCGAAACCGAACGAAACTACAGTTTTTGATGGTTTTTTTTTCTACACTGTGACATACGATACAATTCCAGTTCTATTTTAGCTGGAATTAAAATTTATTTAGTAGAATTGGCTCAGATCATCTTTGTTGGAACGCTCCTTTACGTTCACGTGTAATAAATACACTTTATGTATTCAAAATTTGAAATTCTATCCTGTGCATGAATTAATGATAATAATCTGTAAAAATGTGCAAAACTAAAACGAATAATAAAAATGTAAGCTGTACATAAAGATAGTTTAATACGTAGATTTATTTATAACACCACGTGTCAATACCACCAGCAGCGTAGTTAATTTGTTTTATAATATATGGCGTAGTCGTAATCATCAGTGAATAAAAAATCACAACCAGAAACACGAGTTAACCACATTTACTGGCATAATATTTTCAGCTAAATCTTAGTACAAAATTTTTTATAAGAATTTTCTTTTTTCGTCACGATGCAGATGATGGTTAGTCTAAAATCGCGTCTAATACCCGGTATTATAAGTATTTAAATATTAAATTATATGTAAACTTAATAATATAGAAACAAGATAACAACTTAAAAACTGTATACCAAAGTAATAAATGTCAAGTTAGTGACCCGTGGGTTATTAGGTACATGAATAGCTCAAGAGAAAAATCTTATCTTAGATCTTTCTTGCTGATACTTCTCTGTGAAATGTGAAAAATCTCTTTCTTTAATTTTTTTCGTATTCTTTAATAAGTTCTATAATTACTTAAACTTTGCAAATGGGTGCGTGACATTATAATACCAAATTTATTGTAGCCAGCTAGCTATGTACGACTTTGTCCGCATATAATGTATATAAATGTCAATTTAAATCCAATGACCATCTGAATTCTAAGAGTAATCAAAATCATGCAGTTCTTTGAAAACAAACAATGAAATCTTTCCTCTTTATAATATTAGTATAGATAAAATGAGTAGTCCTAATGAATTGTAATTAAAAATAAGAAAGAGAAGTAAAAAAAAAAAAACTGTTCTACGGTGTGGCTGTTCGTCATAAATCTTGGCAACAAAGCAAAAGTAAAAAAGTTTCAATGTTGAAGGCGAAATGGTAAGCTGACAAAGAAAAGTATCCCGTTATAAATATAGCTATGCTATTGAAAAAAAAACAACAGTCTAACGAACCTCGAAGTCACACTTACTGCAAAGCCTATAGCACATTTCAGCAAAACCAAGCAGATAAATTTGACAATTTTGTTTAATCTAACATGTTGTTGACTGTTTATTTACTAAAACTACCTACCCATCACGTTCTTCAATGTAAAAAGAAATTTCTCAATTCGACGATGGGTTTTCTGTACTATATTAATATAAACTTTAATTGAATAGCTATTGAAACCTTTGGACTGATATTAATAATTGTTTCACCAACGGTTACACAAACTACATCATACCCAAGTGACATAGGTCGGTTTCTGAATTGAGAAAAGTATAATATCTCAATTGATTATCGTCAATAATTTCACTTTTTTACGTTCCACAAGGCAAAAAGTCTTGGTTTTATCGAACTAATATTAACTGATCATTAAAAGAAACAGAAAAAACCTGTCTAAGTAACGTTTAAGTTAGTTTAAGTACGATCGTCATTTACTTGAGCGACGTCGCGGTAAAACGGCTAATGAAATATAAATGAAACACCACATCACATACATGTCGATATAGTCTTAAAATATAAAGAATCCCCGAATCAGTAAGTTAAAGTACATGCCTTTAACACATACGTACATCAATTTTTAATCTAATGAATTATACACTCTTTGTTATTTTCTTAAATCTAGCTCATATATAGATCAATTATCTATTAGTGTCTAACTCGTTTTTCATATTTTGTTTGATAATGTGATCTGACTTCCAAAAAATATCTTTTTTCTTATGCTTTTTTCCTTTTTATTGGTCTTCGAATATCGTTTTTTTTTTGTAATCGACCCGAGTAATAGGCACTACCCAACTAGCAAAAATATGTCGTATAGTAGTCGCGGCAACGAAAATTATTCAGCATTTTGGATCCTAATAGAAGTCGTATAAACGTAATGAAAACGTTTATACAACGCGATTTGGGCCCATTTTATTCAGCAATTCAGTCACATAGACATCGTATAAAGGTAACTTATTCAGGTAAATCGTCACGTAATTATCGCCGGAGTGACTGTTACAAGCTATAAGCTATATGACATGTTTGTCTTATTGAAGCGACCTGGGATACAAAACAGCTGAAAAGATTTATAGTAAATAAAATAAGCAAGTGCTTCGACGTGTTGTGTTTTAAAAATTATAATTCATCGGTAAGTACAATTTATTTAGCAGACATGTTAATTTGTAGGTTGCACCAAATGTAAACTCATGCATAGGGTTGTAAAGTATTGCGAAGGTAAGTTTTCTGAGGAAATATACTAGGTTATATCATAAATATTTAACGCCCCCCTTTAATTCTTAGTAATATGAATATAATAACAAATATTTTTATATCAAAATTATTTTTGTACACCATTTTTACTGCTGACAGGCGGTATAATAGCTTCTTATACAGCAAATTAGCAGTATGAGCGCCATGATACCATGCAATCTGATCGGTGTAATGGATACAATTATACGACATTTAAGGCTTGTAATAGTCGTATAAATGCGACGTATACTACATAATAGTAGTATAAAAGCAACAATGTTGCTTTTACTCAACTGAGTCAAACTTGCCATAAGAAAGCTATATAATATGCTTTTACTCGACGAAATAGTAACATAAGCGTCGTATACTAGCGACTTATTCAGCAAAATATTATATGACACTTAAGTCATATAAGGATGCTGACTAAACGTTTACTCAGCATCATTATGTGACCGAAATGCTGAATAACTCAAAAGCTATATAAGATGCTTTTATACGATACGTGCTGAATAATTCACACTTACTCGACTTTTATAACACCGAAAAGCCGAATAAACTTTACCTTATATGACTAATTTGCTAGTTGGGTAGGCATAGGTAGACTTTACGCTGGAGGCATTGTGACGGGTTCGATGGTTGGGCGAATGAATGAAAGGCTGACTAAGCTTGACAACTTGATTTTATTATACGGTCATAAAAAAAAACTGTAACAAACAAAAAATGAATACAAAAGAGTTCTATAATATATAATTACAATTACAATTGTTGGTACAATAAATTATAATTGTTTTAATAGTCCGTGGTAAAAGGTAATAAAAAAAAAATAATAAAAAAAAGAATCAACAGAGTAATATGCTTCTGTAATTAATAACAACTGTTTATTGTAGGTAATATGTTCATAGAGACTACATGATTGTAATGTATCACACACAAACCCAAGTGGTTTAATGACACCTTTTTGTGAAACAATATGTAAGTAATTTTTAACAAGAATAAATAATAATAATAATAAAAAATAAAAATTGTTAATTAGAACAAATACATACCCCGTTTCTGGGTTTTCTGTAATAGATTAGACTTTTAAATTATAACATTTTTCTTATTTAAATTATAATAACTTAATTATTATTATATTTTTATATTTATGATTACATTATCATGTTCACACCAGATGATTTTTACGAACTGACATTCATAAAGAGCATATTGGATTACTCAAAATTTCAAATTAAGAAAAGTGAATAATAAATAGAAATGATATTGAAAATCAAAGACAAAAAGTTTGCATGCGAAAACCTAGGACGAAATAAACGGTGGTACGGCACACCGTTACAGAACTGTTACATTAATATTTTTTCTTTCATTTCTCTAGGGCGCCGCCCTCCTTCACGATGTGGACATCCCCACGAAGAAGGCAACATTCGGCATGGGCTGCTTCTGGTCCAACGACTCGCTATTCGGCGCTTCACCAGGAGTTATTCGCACACGTGTTGGCTACGCGGGCGGCACCACAAAGAATCCACATTATAGAAACATGTGTGTACTCAAAATGTATATCTAATTTTTTCCATAGTGATATTATAAAAAGGAATTGAATAGACTCAGAATGGACTACTGGACCGCTTTTAAAAATTCTTCCATTAAGGAATGCTACATTGTAGGCGGGTGACAATCGCTTTACTTTTGAAATTAGACAATTAGGCCACAGGTTACGGTCTTTGGCATACTGCTATGGTTACACTGCATCTCACTTCCGCACCTCGATTGAGACCCGAAAGTGTTAGTAAAAGTGCTACTGTGCAGTCACTATTTTGGTTCAACTTATATGCGAGAACATGATCGAACATGCAAGGTCAAGGTATTCATTAGTATGCGCATTATACACACCGAGCAATTATTAAACACTTTAACTAATTGTCGATAACTTATCAGTATCTGAACTAGAATAACTATCGCGTGAGGTCATACATATCGTTATCACACTCAAGCAATATATTAATTGTTCATTAATGGTTCATTTCTATGCCATCAGTTCGCAATTATATAGCAGGAGACTTTTTACTAAATAGAACCGGTGAGAAACTCAATAATGCCTTTTTAATCGCCTTTTGAATTATTTTTTTTTTATACTACAACTTTTTCAAGACCATAAAGTCACCTTTAATGTATCTATATCTTCATGCTGAATCCCTTGGGGGGCAGTTGAGAACCGAGCGTCACAAGGCATGCTTCTTAAATATATCTTTTGCCTCTTCCACTTTCATTCCTCTCTCCATTAATGCTTTTCATGGCTTCTGACATCACCCTTCAACAGCATGCTATCTATTTGATCGTGAAAGGTAGGTATGTCAGTTTTGTTATTCTTTCTCACGGCATTCTTTCCGCATATCCGGACTAATGGAGCACGCTTCTGTTTTTACACCGACACTATCTTTCAGATGAACTCTCTTTTTTAGTTCTTCATACGTAACTTACACATCTAGATTGCATTTATTCTATATGTTCTCTCTGACATACCCAACTCTTGCTGCCATAAATTAGCGTTGGGTCAGCACTGCATTGTGAAGCTGCTCTTTCAGGCTTAAGGTATTGCTGCCAAGAGGTTTGCCCAACACTTCATTCATACTGTAACCAGCACCTACTCTCCTTCCTATTTCAGTGGTGTACCTTCCATTCCTGCTAAAAGCACATTCAGTATAGTTATACAAATTTATTCACTTGTTCCAGTACTTTATGATCAACCTTGATTCTTACATTTGTTTAAGTATCATCTGTATCAAATACCATTATCTTGGTCTTTGTATTCAATTGTAAACCTTTCATCGTACGCCCTTGATTATATGACAAAAGGTAATTAAGATAAATACAATTTAATAGAAAATTAATTAATTTTAGAAAACTATTTAATTTACAGAACAAAAATAAATTTAAACATTTCAATAGTCCAAAGCTGACTTAATTCCACAATCAGCTCACGTTTACGAGCGTGACGAACGAACCAGGTTAAAATGTAATAGAACAAAGAAAACAAAGATTTTTTTGTCCAAACCTTATAAAAAAATATATCCAAGTTTTTTTATTACATATATTAAATGCTAATTAGAATACTTATGTAGGCCAAGAATTTTACCTCAATTATTGTTGCATGATTATTTGTAATGTACATGTCTAAATCTTTATTATTTAACAACGCCACTGTTTATATCAAAACTTGAAATTAAATATGAAAGTAAGTCTGTTTGTTACGCTTTAATGTTTAAACCGACGAATCAGTTTAGATTAAATTTAATATGGAGGTATAGTTTTTGTTACAGAAATTATTCTTTAAAATGGTGGAAACAGAGATAGAAATTTACACTGGGAATCACGTTTTACTAGCTAGTTTCCTCCCTTCCCTTAGATGTTAGCTTGTTTTAATGATTTGATTTATTTTAATTGTTTTTAATGTTATTTTTATTAGAATCAAGGCTGATTAAAACTCGATTAATCTAATGGAGATACTAATACCACGCAGAAGTGACTTAATTAAACTATGACTTCTGACTATACACCTTACATTACAATATTAAAAACGATAATATTTTGAAATATTATTTTTAGAAAAAAATTTATCAAAATGGCTGAAACACCTTCAGTGCTATCAATAAACAAGGTTTGTCAAGGTATTGTCAGCGTAAATTTATGCTTAAATAGCAATTTTAGTATTATTCCAAATTCATACAATACAAAGAATAAGCAAACCTACCTTCTAGGAGTAAATATTACTCCCTTAGAATCTCGGACTATGCTAAGTCTCTGTTTAATAATATGAATTTTCATTAATACTAAGTGCAGTCTCAGCGTAAATTTACTCCAACGCTAAACCTTGTTTATTAATAACAATGTTAACGTCTTCATTTTTATAAAAGCTTATCTGGCAATTTTTTAATATAATAGTGATTTGTTGTGTACGCGCCTTCTTAAATCTATCAGTGTTACTTGCCCTAATTGTCTTATTTTAAAACTTTTTAAAAGTGGATTACTTTCAATTTGGCATTTTAAAGATATTAACGAATTTCATACTACAACTATATGACATATAATAGCGAATGCGATTGCAAGCTTTCTTTAAAATATATTGATTGAACGATATCAATAATTGGACGACGATACTGCGCTGCCGCAATACGGTTTTTTTTTTAACCAGTGCGGAGGGTAGTTGTCATATCGTGCACCTTTTGTAATCTCTTGTATCTTACCAATCAAATTTGTTTATTTGAAACTTATTAGGCATAAGTATCCTTAACCATAAAAACATAAAGTATGGTTTCTTTTTTATCGAAACTATATATTGGTTGTATATGTGGAATAGAAGTGGTAGTGTATGGTACTTAAAGTGAATTTTTGCAAACGATTCATTGTTTATAGGTAAATTTATTTAAATATTATATAACTTATAACTATGTAATAACTTAAAGTGAATAACGTAAATCATTTCTACGCCATAAAACAGATAATTTCGGCATTGCGATTCGTTATTTTTACAAAATTGATCTAGAATATTGTAATTTTAAAAGGTAGACTTTAAATATGATAATATTAAAATAAAAAAATATATCACTGATGCATTGTCCTGGCGATCAGTGAGTCATGTGAAAGTTTATTACAGACACCAGTCTCGTGAAAACTGTAAATGTGTGTAAATCCCACACTACTACTAGTATATGTAATATGTATGTGCCCTTACTTTTTCAAGAGAGAAATAAACGTATTATTATTATTATAATAATTGGAATCGTCTAAGCATAGCGATAAATGCCTGAAAGCTATTAGAAATGTCAAACGAAAGTATTGAATATTAATCGCAATCTTTCGACGGGTTTAGCAAAGTTTTTATTGTCTCTATCATCATTCTTTCCAAAAGCAATTGCGACTTTAAAAGTTACATAATTCCATAAATCGCTAGGACTTTTTACGGGGCTTACGATAGATTTAAAAATTAAATAATTAACCCAACGGTCACATTGAAAAAACCGGCAGGAGAATTGCGTTTAATAATATTTTCCAAATTGGAATTTAAGACTGTTGATTTGTAAATGGGTTCAATAAAAAGGTCGTATCAAGTTCAAATAAACACAATAAAATTATAATCAATGACGTTAATATTCTTATTTTAGTTAAAAAGTATAACATTGTTCAAATCGATAAGGAGCAAAATTGAGATAACAACAAACAATACCGATAATATTTTATAGTTTCCGAGAGAGATAACAATTTGTAGATAAAAATGCCGCTCATAGTGTAGTATGTTTATTTACCTTTTTAAATAATAGATTTTGTTGCATTTTTTTCAGTGGAGACCACACAGAAGTAATAGAATTAGATTTTGACCCGAAGACTGTTACGTATGAAGAACTCCTTGATATGTTTTGGGCAAACCACGAATATGGACTCACCACAAAAATAAAGAGACAGGTAATTAACTAAAATAAAACGAAAAGATTATACTTTCCTCTATATCTTTATCCTGGCTACTTTTGCGGGGTAGGTATAGGAGAAAAGATTTTATATACGGGAATAATAGTTTCTATAGTTAGATAATAATTTTCGATAATTTCTGCAGCAACAGTTCTCAAACTTTTTGACGATGGAGCCTCTTTGGAAACCCTAAAATAAAAGAAAACAGTGTTATATGCAGTGCATATATTAACAATGAATTACATAAAGATTTAACTCTGATCAAAGTATGTTTAACATTATTGTGGACCCCTAATGTTGTACTTTAAGAAACCCTAGGGCTCCGTGAGCCGCACTTTTCTATATATTATAAAAGTGCAAAGTAATAGATATAGTATTATATTATCTATGACAGAGCAAATATTTAATTCCATAATTATAGTTTAAACAAATAATAGCTAAGATAAGGGTACTATTTATCTTAAAATATAATTAGACTTAATCGGTTAAGTACTTAACCCTAGAAATTGAAATTCTTCTTTAAGTTTCAAAAACATCATTGATTTGTTTTGATAAATCGTTGTTAACAAGAGAGTAGAGCCTTAACGACAAAAAGAGGTACAGTGGCCTAATCGCCTAGTTTTAAGATCTATTGCAATCCTTTTAAAGGTATACCAAACGTGATAGAGATTGTTGGAATCCTTGCAAATCAGTGGTGACAGATATATTTATTATTTTTATAGTATTAAGAACTATGTCATAAAAGGTTGTAATTGAAACTCGATTGATTTTCTATAATTATGCTCATCTATAGTCATCCGGTTAAAAAAACACACGCTAACGCGACATCGAGCTCAGCTTTGGCACAAAGATTCAATGAAATAAAGACCTTTATTACCTTTTCAAGTAGGTTTTATTTGATTGAACCTTTACGCAGTGACAGCGTTGCGCTCGTCGACAATTTCTAGACTATTTTACAACAATAGCACAGCTGTATTTGTTATTCTCAAAAATACATGTCTTCCCACGAGTATCATTCCATCTTACCCAATTAAAAATGTACTAGTTTTGGCAGCGACTTTGCCAAGTCATATAAGTGGGATAAAAAGTATCCAGGCTGAGAATTATCCGTATCAAAACCCATTTAGTAGTCGTTACGTGAAAGAATACAAACATACAATACAATCTTTGGCATTTCAAAATTTTATAGGTATGTTGTTTATGATAGCTATTTATTAAGTTTGATTAATTTTGCATTAACAATACTATAATATTTATCTTGTAGGGAATATTTAGATAAACTTATATATTTTAATAATATTTTTAAATACAAAAACACGAAACTTCAATTATCTGTCTCATTGTTTTATTTTACTGTTATTACAGTAGATAAGTAACATTAAAGTGATCTTATTGAACATAATTACTTGTGATGCTGATAAAATATTACCTACAATGTTAAATAAATAAATCTACAATAGGAAAAGTATAATACACACAGTAATTTTGAACGCTGATGTTAGCAGATTAAAACAGAGGAAAAGAAACGTTCAGAACTGCAATGAATATTAAGTGCATTTCATTCAACCAGATATATTGAGTGCATTTTGATTCAATCCAATGTCAAAGAAAGTCGATGTAAGTGTAATTATAGGATAAGCTTGCTCTTTTCTACATGAACCTGCACTCCACCATTAGTAGTAATAATAATTTTAATTGCATAAAAATACGGTATTAAGTTGTCTCTAAATTTAAAATAATGAAAAAGTTCAACATTCCCTTTCAGTACATGTCCTTGATTCTGTATCACGATGAAGAGCAGCGAGAGGCTGCCGAGGCATCGTACAAGGTGATGCAGACACGCTACGGTCAGCTAAGAACAGAAATAGCACCAGCAGGCACATTCTACCCTGCAGAAGAGTAAGTTACGATTATATCATTAGTTATCATTAGATATTATTACCAAGTGATGGTGCGCTTGGTGTATCTTTTTTTGTGCAGAGCAGCTGACGTTACTCTACTTACGAACGAAAATTCGGAAGAATTCTAATCGTTCTTATAATTTTTTAAATATCATATCCGTGAAGATTGTCTGTGCATCAGAGGCAGTGTCAGGTCTTAATTCCATTGCATCATCAGTTACCTAACAAAAATGCGTTTCTTTCGCTTCACATTATCTTTTAGAAAATCTAGAAAATAGGAACAGATTAGACCTTCACACAATCGTGGCTTGCCCGATGGGATAATACTTGAATCATTCTGATAGGGTGACATTTATAAGTTCGGTATAAGCATATTTGAAAGAAGATACCAGAATGAATCAAGTCGATAGTGTAGTTAAGAAGCAGATGAGAAAAAAATCTAGCTTTCTTGTATGAAAAGAGTCATGAATAGCTAAAAACGAAAGACGTGTTTATAGGTGGTGCTTTTATGACTCTGTCTACTCCAAGCCTACACCGTAAGAGGTGGCATTAGATAGCAATTATATATAAATAGTCGTAATATTGAAATATTTTAGATCAACTTATAGCTAAAACCATAAACGGTAATACAACCGTCATTATATTGTAAATTATCAGCCTTTAAATTACATATCACATTATTGTACAATATTAAATACTTACTATAATGGTTGCAAAAATTGTGTCACGGTCAATCTTTATAAAGATGACTTGCAATCCTGTCTTGTTATGTCGCTCGACCTTTATTGAGGTGGACTCATTCGTGCCATCTTCAACGCACCGGATACCGTGATATTGACATTCATATCGTGTGGAGCATAAGCTTTTTGAATATTAGCGGTTCTAATAGTGTTTATTGTTAGAATTTACATTCTGAATGTACCCATGGATGTCCAAGAACTAGAAAGAATTATGAAATTTAATTTGGTAGGTTATTGGTGATCTTTGAAGAGCATAATTATAAGATCCTATTGCGAATAATTTGTCAGTATTCGATAAGCTATACAACTCTGGTTTCGATTTCTGCACCGTAATTCTATCAGTTGATAGAGAGAATGCATTGAACTATGATTGAGGCAGATATGAAGAAAATTTTAGTTAGATTATTTTTATTGGTGATTATTTCCATTAATTATCGAAAATTATATGAAGTAATCGTATCTTATTGTTTATGAAATCATAAATTAACAATTCATTTATAAGCGACTCGAAATTTCAATTATATTACAATCATACTTTATATGTAATTAATTACGCATTTACAATGCTACATATTCTGAATACAAAATGCTTAAAAAAAATCTTTCGGTTGTTTGGAACATTGATGAGAATACGCTCTGTAGTAGCGAAAACTAACAATTGCTTGAAAGATTCGTCAGTCCTGTTAGGTCCTGAGTAGCTCAACGGTCAGAGCAGTCGCCCGGATTGCGAAAGGTCGTGGGTTCGATTCCCATCTCAGGGTGCAAGGGACCAAGTAGTTTGTATTAAGAATACTTTATATGTTCAGGTTGAAGATTGTAGATCATTAATCAGCTCGTAAAAATGACTTTAGGGTTTATACAATCCAAATGATTATAGCTGTAAATGAAGATAAAAAAAATTGTTTCTGTTAAAAATAGCGGTTAAATTCGCTAACAAACAGTTAAGCCGCTCATCGATTATTTTGTGTGTTTTGAATGTACATTTTCTTACTCTCGCAGTATTTTTTGTTTATAAAAAGTAATCACTGGTTATCCTCAAGCCATTTTGCTTGGAATGGATGCTCACAAAACGACTATCCAAGCAAGGTTGTCTGCCGTAAAGCTCACTTTAGGGAATAAATTCGTATTATATATTTATTTACTACTAACTAACTATGCCCACGCCAGTCCGTAGGATTAAAAAAAATCGAATAGATAAATACAGATGCTGATATTTCAACGTTTTATTTCACAGTTATCACCAGAAATACCGGTTGCAAGGTCACAAGGACCTCTGTCGGAGCTTAGGGATAAACTCCTCGCGATTGCAGTCGTCGCATCTGGCTGCTAGACTGAACGGGTATCTAGTGGGGGTTGGCGGGAAGGACCAGTTCGAAGGAGAAGTGGCTAAGTTGGGCCTGGATGAGAAGCAGGCTGACTATGTGAGGAAGGAGCTGGAACGCAACGAAGGTGGCGGCCTGGCTTGCTAGCCACAAGCAAGTCATAATAACAAATCGATAAAAAACGTTGAGTTGAGGACTATGTAGAAGAAAAGTATAATTTCCAGGGAACTTTTTATTCATTAGCATACAAAGCTTAAAACAGTATTTCAAAATAGAATATACCTATTAGTACTGCTTAAATGAATTATTAATTATGCCATATACACTTTGAACCGTAATGTTTGTTCAAGCAACCTCACAAACACACCGTTAAAAATAGAACCAAAATAACTGGTTTGCATAAAGCATACTAAGCGGGAGTCCCCTATAAAATAGAATTAACATTAAAAAAGAAACACCAAGGTGAATGTCACTATAAAGCGGTTCTTCTACATATTTCTGTAAATTGCGGTTCAAAGTTCAAACCATTATATTATTTAATTATGTCCAAATTTAGATAGGTACTTATTAAAATAAACACGAAGAGATAAAATTAGACGTTGACATATTTTCGCAACTCAATTTACTTTTATTGTATCACTAGTAAATTGAAATGCATATCGTAGACAATTAGATTACGCACTACAAAATTTTCAGAGTATGTAACTCCATCCAGTTTGATTTTCAGAACTATTTTTTTATGATGTGGTAGTCTTTTTAATTATATGATTAAAACCTAGTTTTATGTGTACTGTTTATAAATAAATCTGTTACTAAAACATGGATTAATAATTGCCTTTACTTCTTAATTCTGTAATCACTTCACGAGCGTAACTAGCATTTAGGGGTGAGACAAAGTATAGAAACTTGATAAATAATGTTTATTTCAAATTCTTCAATTATTACTTTATTTAAATAATAGAATTGTGGTTTAAATTTCAGCTTTTATTGATGCGTGAGAAATAATATTGACTTTTCCCTCATGGAATTTTGTTTTTGTTTATCTACACAGGCCTTATACGGGAGAATTCGCTCAAAATATAATTTCATAACAAAAATAAAATTGCTCATGATCCAAAAATAGTAATGAATTAGTAGTGACCGAATGTAATTGATGAAATCTATTTTGAGTGAAAGAACTTCTAGTAGATATTAATAAATCTGTCAAAGGTATTTTTTAAACCATGGGCATTTTGCGGAGATAGATAAATTACTAAATATAGATTAATTTTAATTTGTTGTACGGTGCTACCGCCAAACTTTTTGGCCATGACTCCATAGGATTCGACATCTTGGTGATGATAATTTTTTTTTACAAACTTTGACATTTGCTTTAATAATGACAAACGAATGTTAAAGAATGGTGACTATGGATTTGATAGCAAAAAGAAACGAAATATCGCGATAAGATCGCTAAGATGTTGATCATATCTTATGACTAAAGCCGTGGCTTAAGAGTGGGGCAATCTAACGCCTGATCATTTTGTAGAAAAGATAATGATGTGCACATACTCTTATTGTAATTTGTGTCTTTTTTGAAAATTATTGATACTTTAAGTTTATTCGTTTTGGAAACCATTTTAGAGTAACTAAAGTTTGAAAATACCAATTTTATAAACCAAGCATTTTTAATTAATAAAATTTTCCAACGGAATTATAAAGTTAGTCGATTTAATTCAAAATATTTAAATGAAACTTGTAAATCATAACTTTAAACACCATTATAATCCAGTATTATAAGTATCATTTTAGTTAGTGTAACACGAAAATAAACATTGTTAATTTTAACGCGTGTTCAACGAAGTATTATGTAAAGTGTTGTACCATCATAGATTATATTTTATGGCAAACATAAATTTATTTTTGAAAAGAAAACTCTGAAGATTTATTTACCTAACTGCACACGTTAACGTTCAATAATAATAATAATGATTTTTTTATTTATTTCTTCTACGTTTAGAGCAATAAATAAATATCTATAAAATGACGTTTATATGGGGTAGCACTTTTTAATATTTTAATAACCAGTGAAAATACTTAATGGACTACCCTGTTCCCTGACGGGACGGCAGGGGTGTAGGACCACAGAACACAGAAAGATGGTGGGACTCTCTCACGCTACAGTCTAACAGTAGGCCTGAAAGTGGAGAACCATTGAACAGGTCAAAGGGCGGGAGCTTACCTTCTTAAAATCCTCGGCGTGCCCCCGATTAGCAGTAGTAGCCAGAAACCCGGAACTTATTGCTGGGAAGTAATTGCTACCCCTTTGATCTATAGGGAAATCTAATTCATCGTCACCACGCGTTGTCAAAATTAAAGATACATCTGGATACGCTTATTATATTATTATGGTTGGAAGTACATATTTAATTAGGATCTTAGTTGTTATAAAAAAATTGACTCGATTAATATTGCTCCGGCATATCTGTTTAATATAAAAAGTCACTTTAGTCAATTTTGAATTTGAAAATTTCTGAATAATCCACAAGTTTCACGTACCTCGCGATGGGACTCGAACCTATGATCTTCCGCAGTCCAGCGACTACTCTAACCACTGAGCTACCCGACACCCAACAGCTCTAGGTCTGTCAATGATTAATAACTAAATAGTTAGGAGTTCAACCCCAATGGGACAAATCTTCTACGTTGTAATCAATTGTTTACGAATGAGGCCTCCATTGAATACATTATTGAAAACAATTGCGTAGTTATAAACGCGGCTCTATTTTACGCCGTAGGTATGTGTTACAGTAACTTCATGTTCTGAATCACAATAAGGTACACATATGTAAACGAGTGATAAATGATTTCAATCTATACAACTAAAGTAAACACATAGAGACCTTTATGGAGACGAATTTAATTGGGTACCTTTTTAGGGTTCCATATCCAAAGGGTTAAAAATAGGACCCTGTTTCTAAGTATCCCCTGACAGGGTTCTGTTCTGTATTCCTTTTGAGGTACGAAACCCTAAAAACAATAAAAGTGACAAAAGTAAAAAAAAATCTAATTAAAAAAGCTGGAATACCAAATAGGAAACAGATATTTATTATTAGTACCTTATCTAAATAATGTATATTTCTTGGTATTTTTAGCTTCTGAAAAACAATAACAAAAATTGACACTCATTTAATGTACATTACATTATTCGAGGAATTACGTAAAGCCAAGTGGTTATAACATAAGTTTATCTTCATCTTATCAAGATAATAGCGTTGTTTTATCTAGCATTATTTTAACGCATGCATAATATTAGAATTTTCATTAGATGAAAATAGGTTTTTTTTCACATTGAACGTTTTTATTCCTCTCAAAACAATAAAAAAATTATGCATACATAATTGATTAAGTTAAAATATAGATTTCTCGAGAGGCTTAGTCTTTTTCTGACTGGACTGGTAGACAATACCTCTGGCATTAAATATTAAATAAATAATTTAACAATTTCCCTTATAATGGAGGTAATCCAGAACCTATTTTCATAATAAATAATTAAAACTGAAAAGCTGTAACCATACAAAATATCAATAGTCTAAATGCGTATGTGTGGTGGAGTTAATATAATTTTATTACAATGAAAAATAATGAACTATCGTCAAATATTATAAAAAAAATAGATGATAATTTGCTTTATAATATAATTCCGTCAGCGGCTTCCCCCTGGTGGTCTTGTATTATACATAAAAACCTTCATTTTGAATCACCCTATCTATGAAAAAAATAATTTCTGTCTATTGTGCTTTAGAGTTGACGAACTCTAGCTTATTAACGAAAATATATATACAGAAAATCATTATGAAATAACTGTTTTATTATAATTATAGGCAGATTTTTGTTTACGGTGAAATACAATCTGTATGAGGCTATGAACTGCGAATTGGATGATTATTTTTGTCCGATTGAGTGCAAATCATTTATTCGACGAAGGTTACACTGAACTTGCACCGGAAGTGCAGATTTGAAGCAACGAGATGATAAGTCGTCGACGCGACATAGTGTTGGCATGGGTGGACATGACCGTGACGCATAAAGGATCTGTTAACTTCTTAGCCGCAGATAATAATAAAATCGGTAAATTTTGCATACATATAAAGAGGCAAAACGAATAACATGTGGGAAAACTTGCCCTAAACCTATCAGAAAATAAAAAAGGTAGAGGTCTGTCGCCGTCGACCTAGTGGACAGACAACAAGAGAGACTTCAAGAAAGAGAAACTCTCAGGCGAACCAACCCAGGATAGACTAACCGGTTGAAGAGGGCATACGCGGATGCGAGGAGGTCTTTCCGTGATTCCATATGTAGGGCAAAGTCAGCCTCCTGGGATGAGATGAGTACACCAGGAGCCGATTAAAGCAGCATTCGCCTTTCACGGAACAAAGCTCATCTCAGCCCTCTTTCCGGCTGAGACTCCGGATGTGCCCTACCTTCTTCCTCCTTCAAGGCGACACGAGTAGCCGAGGGATGAAACCGTCCCCTTCGTAACTGACGGGGAGATGGAATATGCAGACAAGCGTCTTAGATTGTTAAGAGACAAGGGTCTAGAAGTAAATATTATTCCCGTAGAATCTCTGTTCAATAATATGAGTTTTGATTAATACTAAGTGCAGTCTCAGCGTAAATTTACTCCAACGCTAAACCTTGTTTATTAATAACACTGATAGTGTTTAAAAGGGGGGATATTTTTAATTAATTGTATCTTTAACTATAAGTGTTGTAAGAAACTTGAAGTGTGTATGAGTAATCACGAGTCTAGACATTAATGATCAGTATTCGTATCCGAGAATGATTTTTTAACGTAAGTGCACGTCTCTACTTAATATATCCTAAAGTTGTTTCTATTTACGTATTGGAACCGAAGTCATTACAAGGCGAAGACGAAGTCACGCGATATTATAGGCGTGGTCATCACGACTTTACTATGAGATCGTGCGTCATAAGTTTATGTACACAGTAAATCTGTATGTTTGTATGTAATAATAATGTGATAAATGTATGAATTTACTGTACGAAGTAATTGAGAAATGTAAAAATACCACTTATAGAAGATATTTCTATAGATACCTTCCGGGGTAGGAACGAGAACGGTTTGAAAAAAGAAAAAAGAAATATACGTGTTACGTGTATTTCTTTTAGATAGAAAAATCGGTAGAATATTGCGCATATTTTGATTCATATAAATTCTTTGTAGTTTTGTATAAAATTTACAT